GGACACACCGCTAGGTACTGCTACCATAGCCAGCAGCGAGCTCCACGATTCAACGTGTAAACGCCCTATGTACCTGCTGGCGAGTCTCAACCATATCAGGGCGCTTTCCAACGGCAACACAAAGTACGTGCTGACTCGCCTTGCTCCGACAACAGCTTACCCCACCCCCCGCACGCCAACAGCGATCCCCGTCTCCACGTCGCCGCTCGGGGACGCCATCACCACCGGGAAACTAACTGGTGCGACCAATGGGGGCGAGGTCGGAAAATCATCTTCCGCAAGCCGCCCTTGTGTTGTAATGGATGAGAACAAAGTGAGTGTTTTTCTAGACAATATGAGTACTGTTGCATTAGTTCATACCGGTGCTGCCGTTTCTATAATGAGCACATCTTTTAAATATCGCCTTGGAACTAAAGTAATGTTTGCTTGGAATCGGAGTGCTACGTTCGGCGGTGTAGGGGGAGAAACGTTGAGCCTAGTTGGTGTTTTTGTTTTACTTTCTGTAGGAAATCATACGTTTAAGCTGAACTAACGGTGCTTGCACGAGCGACCCTCGACGTCATTCTAGGTACAGCTTTTGTGCGTGAATGTGGTGCAACTCTAGACATTGGTAGTTTGTGCGCGTAAACTCTTCGCAGTGTTTGTGCACGTAAACTCTTCGCGTTCTTGTGTGGTTTCTTACTATGGTTTAGCCGAGCCGAACTTTAACGCACTTAAGAAAAACGTTATTGTGCCTCGTTGTCTCGTGCTCACCGTCGAGCGTTGTCCCGATTTGTGGACTGTGAACGTTACCGCGCAGCTCATATCTCGGCTTGAAGGACTTAAATTGGCAAGCTTTCAAGAGCAGAGTACTCTTACCATACGGTCACTTCAACTGTCGGTGGATGTAAAGAAACCCCACGCCAACTAGTACCCCGACTATTCTGCCAGCATTGACCGTATGATCAACAAGCCATTTCCGTCAACTGAACGGTCGCTGCTGTAAGCGTCAATCGCACGCCACGCCTCAGTCTTTGACTTTGCCCAAGACGAGACATCTACTGGTACGCCACCGTCTTCACGTACGCAACACCGCATCTATACAGGCCAAGCACTACCAATATGCCAGACGCCCTATCGCGTATCGCCTTCCGAAAGGAAAGTCATCGCTGAGCAAGTTGAAGACATGCTAAAGAAGGGCGTCATACAGGAATCGTGTAGTCCGTGGGCAGCTCCTGTCATTCTAGTTAAAAAAAGGATAACTCCAGGAGATTTTGCGTAGACTACCGTCACCTGAATGCCATCACAAAAAAAGAGGTCTACCCTTTGCCACGTATAGATGACGCCGTAGACTGCCTGCATTCTGCCTCCTATTTTTCTTCTGACGACAGGCGTTCTGGGTATTGGCAAATTCCTATGCATCCCTCCGATAAAAAGAAGACGGCCTTCGTAACACCAGACGGTCTCTTTGAATTTAACGTTCTGCCCTTGGTTTGTCCAATGCGCCAGCGACATTCGAGAGATTTATGTATAGAGCACTCTGTGGACTAAAATGGTTAATTTGCATGTGCTACTTAGATGACGTGATTATCTACGGCAAGACTTTTCACGAGCATAACCGCCACTTGTCGATTGTGTATGAATGCTTACGCGAAGGTTGCCTTGTTTTAAACTCAAAGAAGTGTCAATTTGGAGAATGTCAAGCCCTCGTAATAGGTTTTCTCGTGGATAAAGAAGGCGTGCGACCAGACCCCCAGAAGACCACAGTGGCTCGCAACTTTGAACTACCACGAATAGTGAAGGACTTGCAAAGCTTTCAGGGTCTGTGCTCATATTTCCGCCGGCCTATTAAGAACTTCGCACAGCATGCTTCGCCACTGACTTCCTTCTTCATAAAGGCACACCATACTTGTGGGATGATAAATGTGAGGCTGCATTTCATCAGCTGAAGTTTTTATTAACTTCAGGACCCATCCCAAAGCATTTTGATCCTGATGCTTTGACTGAACTTCATACTGATGCTAATGAGCTAGGTTTTGGTGCTGTGCTAGCCCAACTCTGCAACAGCCGTCAGCACGTCGTAGCATATGCCACTCGGACACTGACCCGAGCAGAGAAGAACTACACCGTCACCGAGCTCGAGTGCTTAGCAGTCGTCTTCGCCATTCAGAAGTGCCAACCATATCTTCATGGCCGCGAGTTCACATAGTGACCGATCATCACTCACTATGCTGGCTTGTGGTACTTCAAGACCCGTCTGGCCAGCTGGCTCGTTGGTCGTTGTGCCTCCAAGAGTGCAGCTTTTCTGTGACCTATAGGAGCGGATGATGTAACACAGATGCCGACTCCTTATCCCGCCTTCCTTCAGTACACACCAATGCTGACGACGATGACATTGATGACTATTTATTTTCTGTCTTGTCCGACTTCCCAGATACCAACAGCTTCAAACCTGAGCAACAGCGCAACCCTACTCTTAAACCCTTGCTTGAAGCTGCACATAACTCCGTCGACGACCACTTTAAAATTTAAAATTGCTTGCTGTATAAAAGAAGCTATTTAGCCGACGGCCTCCTGTTGTTTCTAGTGATGCCGGAAAGCCTGCGCCAGGTTGTCCTTCGTTCTATGCACGATGACATAACATCTGGTCTTCTCGGTTTCACACGTACGCTACATCGACTACGTGAGAGGTTCTACTGGCCGAAAATGTGAAAGACCACAAAACAGTACGTCGCCAGATGCGCTATATGTCAGCGCCACAAGCGATCCACCACTGCCCCGGCAGGTTACTTACAGCCCATCGCTCCACCTGCATCCCCCTTTGAAAAAGTCCGCATCGACTTGCTCGAACCCCTTCCCAAGAACCCATCGGGCCACCGATATGTTATAGTGTGCGTAAATTTTCTAACGCGTTATACGGAAACGTACGCACTGACATCTGCCACAGCAGCTGCTGTTTCTTCTTTTCTGTTACAAGGGGTCACACTGCGTCACGGTGCTCCACGGGTTGTCATCAGTGATCATGGACAACTTATCGCCGATGTGGTTGAAGAAATTTTGCGCCTTTCTGGCTCCTCGTATCGCCACTCGACCCCTTACCATCCCCAAACTAACGGTCTCACCGAGAGAACAAATTGAACTCTTACGAATATGCTATTGTTGTACGTTGATGCTGACCACAGGAACTGGGACGCCGTCTTACTGTTTGTTACCTACGCGTAAAACACCGCCAAGCATGAAGTTACTGGACATTCGCCCTTCTTTCTTCTTTACGTATGAAATCCGCGGAGTTTTCTGGACACTCTATTGCCTCTTTAGAATCAGGAAGATCTGTCCATCACTCACACGTTGTGTCGTGCTGAAGAAGCACGTCAACTAACGCACCTTCGAACGTTGTCTTCTCAAGAGCACAGCGAGAGTCACTACGATGCCAAGCATATCCCCTTAGAGTTTCTCCTGGCGACTACGTTTGGCTCTGTACTCCTGCTCGTAGAAAAAGATTGTACCGGAAGTTTCTAGCAAACTATTCCGGCTCATTCGGGATAGTGATTTGGCTATAGATTCCTGCTCGTAGAAAAGGTTGTACCGGAAGTTTCTAGCAAACTATTCCGGCCCATTCGTGATAGTCCATCGTCTCAGTGACGTGAGGTATGTTGTCGCCCGTGTCACAGCCAATAACAGGCGTTTGCGCACTACGCAAAATGTTCACGTAGCCCGTCTCAAACAGCACCATCATAGGCCTATTTTACTCGCTCGGCGAGCTTCGTCTGCCGCCGGGGGAATGGCAACGAAGATGCGCGAGCTTACGCGGTGCAGAAGAAGAAGAAGAGTAGTAGAGCGGAGCTTGGACTGTATGGTTGGGTGAAACAGACTAGGCCTGTAACAGAAGTACGCTGCTCTTTTTCAGCGCCATTTCAACTTATCTGTAAATAAACAGTCACTGGTAACAGTATTTTCCCGACGTAACTTCCGTAACAGGAATACGTCATTGAAGTCTTTATGGATCCCGGCATAAAACACTTGAAAAAAAGAAAAGTAACACTCAGATGACAATCTTCGTTCAAACTGCTACTAAAAAGCCTGCTGCTATTAGCCAAGTACAAATCGCATAAATAAGTGGTAATGCCGAAGACATTGCTTTTGCCGTTACTTTCTTGGTACTGGTTTAATTATGTATGAGCTTGCCCAACAAGCAACACTCTCGTACCTAACTTCCTGAGAAAAATTAGCGTCTCGTGATTATATTACATTCACGTCATCTAAGCTGCCTTTTTGGAGCAATGTTTCCCATCGTTGTCACGGGTGAGCGATTATTTCAAATTGTGGTACTTTCGTTTCTCTGGTTTTTTTGACAGAATACTTAGTGACATTGCCGAGATAGAACGCTTAACGGTCTTAAATACTTGTCAAATATTGTATTGAGAAGTTGCGGAACATGCCAATGGTGTACATACCCATAAATCTATCCCATCTGCCAAGGATGTACTTTTAGATCAGGCTATGGAATATGCCAAAGATTCTGCAGCTGTATATCAGCAGGTCTATGGAATTTTACTACCTCAGTAGTATAACCAGGTAAGTACAACAAAATTTGGTACCTCTGATAAATATCGCTGTGTAACAAGTTATACTAACAAACGTTCAGGTAACACTTGTAAATATCTATGTTCTCTATCTATTATCAGGCACTTAGAAAGCAGAGATGATGCAACACTTTACAGATGAGTATACATTTCAAGGCAGTCACTTCCTTACGTTATCGCTTATAAAACGTAGAAAGAAATTGTCAAACACTTCATGTGCAAATCACATTCTCCTAAAAAAAAGGTTTGATGGAAGATATTTGGCAAGCTGTGTTTGATTTATAACAGAGAAAACAGCGTAAACGTCTGACAAGACACAAGATGGAGGCACGGCAACTGTCTATTTAGCTCGTATTTTTTTCCTTGCGTTAAAAGCCATCCAAATGAACTTCTTAGCGTGAAACACTTTTGTACAAAAAAGACAATGTTGAAGAGAGCTCAATGAATGGGTCTGCTTTATTTGGCTGCTGATAGCGAGTCTTTTTTTGTTTAAGAAGTGCAAGCCTACAAAGCTTTAACATTGGATAATTTAACTGTAGGGTAAAGTATAACGCGTTGTTACTGGTTTGGTTCAGTGGTTCGCAGTAATGGGCTACCGCGAAAACGTTCGGGGAACAGATTGTTAAGCCAACATATTTACTTTATATATCATTTGTAAAATGTTTCTCATTCTTGACAGAGCATGAAGCTTGTAAACATGGATGCAGAATGAATAACTACATGATCACCCTTCCATAGCTTTGCTTGAGTCAACTCATTGGTCTGATTTCATAGCCTCGTGTATCTCTTTCATTCTTAGTTCTTCGCCTTTTCTTTCATCCTCATCAGTCTGCTCACATGGGTCATTGTATTTGCTTTCCGTGATGTCCTCCATATCGTCTGGACACGCAGACAAAATCTTCCGATAACATTCGGTGTCTTTGTTCACGTCATCTCTTTTTAATCCCCAAAGCATACATGATTTCTCACCTGAGAAAAAAAACAATTTGTAGTATAGACAAATTCGTATCACAATGATATGATGGAAAAATGCAAAGTTCAAAACAAAATTTTTCTAAGCGAATTTACCAATTCATTTATAGTACCTTCGTATGAAATTCGCATTACAAATCTCATCAGTAAATTAGCAAACATGTGAATCATGCCGGACGTATTTAAGGCGCCGTCACAGGTTCCATATTGCTTCAGCTCCTTTGATGGCATAAGCCTCGTAGAACCTTAAAGCAGCGGGTCGCTGAGAGCAGCGCCCGCCAGGGCGGTCTGGTGGCTAAGTTACTCGGCTCCTTAATTGCTGGTCGCGGGAATGAATTCCAGCTGCGGTGGCTGCCTTTTCGGTGGATGGGAAGATACTCTAGGCCCTTGTGTTCCGATTTGGGTACACATTAGAGAGCTGCACGTGGTAGAAATTTTTCTAGCTCTCCAATATGGCGTATATTCTATTCATATGGTGGTTGCGGAATGTTGAACCTCACGTATCAATATAAGTGCGAACTGCAAGTCGACACGAACGCACTCTTGCCTTTTCAATACCTGTGTCCGAACGACAATTGACAGTGCAGGAGTGGTAGGAAGGTCAGAAAAAAATGTGCTATACTTTTACATGGTCGAAGGGGAACGAGGGCGTAAAACGTAGATAGTGTAAGTGCTGCTAGTTTGTTAGTTACGTGAACAAAGCGAAGCTGCGGTACATTCCTTGAGTGAGCTGCAACAAAATACGCCAGGAGATTGATTGATTTGATTGATTTGTGGGGTTTAACGTCCCAAAACCACCATTTGATTATGAGAGACGCCGTAGTGGAGGGCTCCGGAAATTTTGACCACCTGGGGTTCTTTAACGTGCACCCAAATCTGAGTACACGGGCCTACAACATTTCCGCCTCCATCGGAAATGCAGCCGCCGCAGCCGGGAATCGAGCCCGCGACCTGCGAGTCAGCAGCCGAGTACCTTAGCCACTAGACCACCGCGGCGGGGCTAAATACGCCAGGAGATTTGGGATGGTGTTCCTCACTGATGAATTGTAGAGCCATGCTTACAAGCTCTTTTTTAGGGGCGCAACTTTTTATAGCGGCACCCGTTCGCCCCTCCTAGTCGTAGTAGTAGTTGTAGTGTGTAACCAGTCTTACATTTTCACCTCCAAGGTAGTGCCAGTGAGAGATTTCTTCTGTGCGTTGTTGAACAATAAAAAAAGTCGCAGTGTGTACGTTAACTAAAAGCAGAATTTTCCTGTCTCTCATTCAGGCTCAGCAGAAGTTGGCATGTACATTGAGCCCTATCTGACAAGAAAGGGTTGCTAAGTTATACTCGCTGGGCATAACCACCTTGGTTTTAGAAAGACTTAGCGAGCGTTGGGCCGAAGTTCTATGAGTACAGCGAACTGGTATATACCATGAACACGACGAGGTTAAAGGTTGGAACTAGACACGAAGCGAAAGCCGCAAGAAAGTGTGCGTGTGCCACCTCTCGTTTAGGCCTTGGAAGTCCGCTGGATGGCGGTGCATATGCGGAATATATGATGAAAATATGCAATATTGTGGTACCTGGAGTGTTGAATAGATAGACGAACGGACACAAAGACAGATGTATGAACGGACTCACGGATGGCTGCACCGACAAATGGACGCAAGGACGGACGCAGAGGCGGATGCATGAACGAACGCAGGGCCGGACACACAAACAGATGCACGCACGGCAGGGCGAATGGACACACGGACGGTCACACAGATGGACGCATGGACGGACGGAAGAACGAATGGACGGACGGATGCTTCGCCCCACTCTCCGCAATTCACTCCGTGGATATGCTGACATTTTTTTCTTCTGAGGTATAGACCACATTTTGAGCCTTGATTGATTGTTGATCTTTTGGCTGGAGTAAGTACCTAAATAATTCCGGAACAGTGCAGCTAACTTGCACTATGGGTCAGATTCTCTGAAACTAATGAAAAAAATCGCGCATTTTGTTTTCTGTTGGCGACAAATCCATGTGGCCATCAAATCTTCCTCCTAAGACCCAGAGGGTGATGTCGTCCCCATCAAGGGTGTGGTGCAGACCCTTCATTGTGGCTTGTTTTTTCAAGTAGCCCAACCAGGATGAGGTTAAACAATATGGGCGGCACGACGGAGCCCTGCGGCGAACCAACAGGACCCGTTTCGAATTCCGGTGATTGCGTGTTGCCGACAATGACCCTCGCACTCCTGCCCGTGAGGAAGTCGCGTATATAGTTATAGAATATTTGGCCTAATCTCAGCGATCAGACACGGTCGAGAATTGCCGCGTGCTCGACGCTGTCAAAAGCTTCTTCAGATCAAGGCCAAGGATTGTCTTGGTGGAATTAGAAGTCCTGTCTACAATCTGATGTTTCAGCTGTAGCATCACGTCGTGTGTGGAAAGGTTGTGGCCAAGTCCGACCATCGCGGGGGGGGGGGGGGGGGAAGACGTCACCGTCTTCGAAGTAATCAGTAAGGCGAGACAGGGCAGCGTGTTCCATGACTTTGCCCATGCAGATCGTGAGCGAAATCAGATCGGCCTGAGGTTATCAATTGTAACCTGCTTGTCCAATTGTCACCTGTTTGTCTGGTTTGGGAAACATGGCAACGCGGGCCCTTTTCTACGCATCGCGGAGGGGGCTCTTTCGCCAGCTGTCTTTAACGTATTCCGTCAGTCGCGTAAGCTGACTCACCATCCAGGTTGCGTAGAGTCTTGTTGGTCACCCGATCCGGGCTTGGAGCAGACCCGGTGTTGAGGTTGCCTAAGACTGCCCTAATTTCGGCTTTACTAAAGTCCACGTCTAGCTTCTCGTTGTGGTCTCGGTCATACATCGCGTGCTGTGTTCTTTCACCTGCTCTAAGATAGCGTCGCGAACGGCCTCAAGAAATTCATCTGGCATGCCCGCAAAGTTTCGTACGAGCCTGCGAGTCTTGTGCCCCTGAAAGCTCTTGGTCTCCTTCGGATCGAGAAGACGCCGGAAGAGGCACCAAGCGTTCCCACTAAGCATCTGTTTCTCGAGGTCAATGCACGTCTCTGCCCATAGTATTCGGCATACCTGAAAAACGTGTTCTTCTGTTGACTGTCTAGTTTTCCTATGCGCCTGCGTAAAGTCATATAATACCTTTGACGTTTCCATCTCTTCAGCAAACACTGCTTGGCCTACCACATGTGCAGGAGCCGGCTATCTATCAATTGAAGGCTTGCCTCAGGAGGGGTCTCGAGCGTTGCTGCCTTCGCATCTGCCCTGAGCCTCCAGGTATAGTCTTCAATGTTCGTTATTGGTTGGTCACCTCGCTGACGTTCTTTGCATGTCCCATGGAATGCATCCCATTCCACGAGATGGAGCCTTCGTCATCTGGCCTCCCTTTCGCTCTCGAATCGACAACCACTCGCATGTCATCCTGTGTCTATTTTATACTCTATTGATATGCAATATCTTCCTGCATGTTGTGCCACTGTGCGTTGGTTATGTTCGCCACGAACGCAAGGTCTGGTAGCGTGTCAGCGCATGCGCTGTTGCCCCGGCGCGTGGGATCGGCAGGGTTCGTGGTGAACTCTTGTTGCTGGTCTGCCAAGTACTCGCACAGGAGCCTGCCCTCGAGTGTTTCTCATGGATATCCATAGGCCACGGGAGGCGCGTTGAAGCTCCCGGAACGAGTTGCGGCCGATCGGTGGCGACTGCGCGTACCTTGCACAACAGCTCCCAGAATCTGTGCTGCAGCGAGGACTTGCTGTATCAGTTAAATACAAATAGTACTTGGCACCTTCTCAGAATTATCTCTTTGAACACGCACAATATATTTACGCCTTGAAGCTCACGTTCCGGCACTCTCAGATTGCGACGAACGAGCACTGCGGAGGTCGTTCGCGTCACCACCTCAACACCAGTCAACGCAACTCAGTGTCTTCTTTTCCTTTGCACTTTGCTAGGCGCGGCTGCATCTAAGACTTATAGCCCGCTAGTTTGACCTGGTCATTTGTCTCCTGTAACAGGATTACGTCCGGTTTCCTCTCACAGTTGTAAACAAACTGCTGCAGATTGCCCCTCTTCCTTCTGTAACCACGTAAGTTCCACTGCCATGCCGTGAACTGTTGTGGATATTGTCTAGTGTGTGTGTGTGTGTAGTTTGTCGCGCTCAGCCATTATGATGCGTGTATGTGATGTAGCCCGTCGCCCGATAGACTCGGTTGGTTGTGCTGCGTTTTGTGTCTATCAGTGGCGATTGCTGGTGCTGCTGTTGCAGTCTCGCGTATGGCTTACCGGTCGTCCGCATTGACCTGCCCGCAAAAAGTGGGGGCCTTGCTTCGATTTCGTTTATTCGCGCCATAGGCGCCGCCATCACCTCAGTCATTTGTTCCACGAGCTTAGCTACCAAGTTGTTCACAACTGTAAACATTTTGTTAACTTGTTCCGTCTGGATCGTGAAACGCTTGTCTAGGCTTGTCTCAATATTGCCTATGTGGTCTTTTAGCCTTCCGTAGGAGGTGATACATGATTAGTCGTGGGCCTTTCGGGTTCTGCAACTGCGCTCTTGAAAGATAGCGGATGGTCTTCGCGTTCGTCCGCTCTCTCCACCGAGCTTTCGTTACCAGTGTCTACCTCGAATGGCACGGGATGCGGTGGAAGAGATTGTTGCTGTAATATAACCTGGCGTTTCCGCTTCTGTGCCATTCATTTTTTTTGGCTATTTCTTCTACAAGAAGCGCCTTTTTGTGTCCTAACTCAATATTGTATATTCTGGAGGCCCTAAGTGGTGCTGCACGGCTTGTTCGAGCTCGCCACCGCTCATGCGACAGAGACCGGGGCCACCCCCACTCTGACCGCGACACCTTTATGGCGCGCGGCAGTGCCGCCGGCGTCGGGGGAGGCAGCAACGTCCACCAAGCTTACCTCCAGTACGTCGCTATTGTAGCGTTGTCGCTGCTGTTGTCGCTGCCAATAGCTACCGGTACCGCCATGTCTGCTAATGCCATAGTCCG